AGTAAAAAGGCTCTCCGGTTCTCTGCACGCCCCATACAAAACACAGGAGCATTAAGCTGCTATTTTACGCTGATGTTCTATGAAAGCGTGGTCCTTCTCCGGTCGATTCATTCGTGCTACAATCATAATATAGCTGCAACATGGCTCTTTCATATAAATAACTTTCAAAATACTAAACTGAAATACTTTATTTTTTCTATTTTAATATTTTTAACAATTAAATATTTATTTACATAAATAAAATACTTTATTATTCATATTTTGACCATTTTTAAGGATTCTTTTTAAGAGATATTTACACAACGAGCTATATGAGAAAGAATAAGTAATGACGAGTCTCTTTAAAATGAATTATTAATGACTTTTTTATGAATAATGTAAAGATACTGTAAGAGTAATGAGTCGGCCATCTAGTTCGAAGATCCGACTACCGAAGGGTAAGAAAGGTTCTCGAGTGGCAGCATCGTACCGGCAGGCATTTATACCGGGGGTTAGACCGGGGAAAGACCACGCTCTCAGAGGATACCAGCGGGAAATAGTAGCTTAATGCTGCTGTGCTTCGTATGGTGAGTGTAGAGAACCGGAAACCTTTTTTACTGGAAACAAAGCATTCCATCTTAGTCCTCACGAGTGACAACGCATCTGCATTTTGATTTGTAATCGAGGATAGATGTAGATGTCTATGGGCCGCAGCAACCACTTACCATCAGGTGGACTGTGTGCTCGTTTGTCACCCTATCCTATAAAAAAAGGCGAAGTGTTGGGCGTCCCGTCACTAGATGGAGTGACGACCTGATAACACATGCAGAAACTCAAGGATGGAGGTGGTTCAAGGCCGTGCTTTGTAGCATTCCTTGGGGAGGCCTATGTTCAGCAGTGGACTTGTGAAAGGCTGTAACGGAGATGATGAATATGAAGACTGTAAGGGGTTTACAACATTTTACCAATTACAAATATATGTTAGATTTTTTTCTAGAAGTAACAAAATACTATAAATGTAGAAAAAATAGTAAGTCAAATAAAAACACTTTATTTTCACACGTTGCATATATTATCCATTTTTATTAGTAGCTGAGAAAAGTAAACATAACAACTGATATGCTAGAAAAAAGATAGCACTAAACACTTAACTTGAGTAAGTAATATAGTACCTGGATTTCATTATATACATTTTTACTGTAGATTTTCTTATAAAAATGTTTAAAGTGGTTCAAGCCCTTGCAATCCAATGGCAAGATGGTAACCAATTAAAGGGGTTTCGGGGAGTATTTTGTTTGTTACTTTTGTTATTCTTACATTTTGCATTTGCATTTTGTAATATACGGCATAGAAAACGATAGGTATACTATATTTAGACTGAGATATTCGTTTTATATTCGGTATTCGGCATATTCGGCAGCTTTCATTCAGCCGATATCGGCTAAATCACCGAACATTCGTTTTCATAGTGTCCAATGTATTGAAATGTACGAATTGAGTAATGCGATGCCTTTTACTGTTGAAAGTATATTTTATTTATGGGTTAAATCTAATTACTCTAGAGTGCCTGTGTGTGAGTAAAACTTTTACCTAATATTTGGCCGAATATTCGTATTTGGTGAAATCCATATTCGGCCCATCCCTAGTAAATATACATTACGATTGCCAATCTACTTTTCGATCGAAAACAATGACTTTCTTAATTAAGACAGTTGTCATATGATGCAAATAAAACATTTGAGTTATTTAAAAATTATATCTCTTCTTCATATATTTGGAAACTCACTTGCGATTCATATACCAATGTTATGTCTAGATTTTGTAAATATTTACACAGACCAAGACAATGGAAATTCTTTTATGTGAAGAATCTATTTAACAAGTCCATTTTGTTTGTTAATACCGTTGTAGACACGTTTACGACGCCCACTGTTTTGCACGCACTCAAATGCCGCAGCGTGTGCCATTTGCTTAAATAATGGTTAATACTGAATGATGCATGCAGGTCATGCATTTGATCATGATCGCTATGAACGTCGGCTCTTTACAAAAAAGTAATCCTAATTGCCTTTTATTCTACTACCGCTGTATTTGAAATCGCTGACCGAGTTTCATTTGGATGAATATAATTTTGTCCAGCAGAAAATTTTTGTAGGATATTTTTTAATATGTAAGCAAAAATATGATATACTAAGTAAAAGACTAAGTAAGTATTTTATTTTAAAGATGGTTTTATAAAATTATTATAATGTCACCCCCATTGTATTAACATTTTTTTTATCTTCTTTTAAGTCCAACTTGGACCATTTTGTATAGCATTCTGGCTTCCCCAGATAATGGCAAGGCTAGAATACTGTTACAAAATCCGATACCTAATCTTTGCAATAAATATTATATTTATTGCAAAAATTTGCTCTTTCAGCCTCGATTCGAACACACTCCACCAAAATATGTAATACATCTTCTAATTGACCACGTTCTACACAGTTAGGGGATTCGACCTTTCCCATCAAAAAAGCAATGTGTCCCAATCGAAATCTTAGAGCTGTAACAATATCGGCCCTGCCCATATTGGCTTTATCTACCCATGAAGAACTGGAAATATTTGGTTGAATAGTTTTATACCATATTGCTTTTGTAAGAGATCTCCCATTAAAGTATTCCTTATGATGGTTTGTGTTATACGGATATAGACTAGCACCTTCGATGGTGAACGTCGCGGTCTGGGTATATAAATATAAGGGCGCAGTCAAACTGCCAACTGTTTGAAGTCGTGAAATGTCTAACATTCGTCATAGTGCCTCATATTGCGATAGCCATGAGAAGAAATCGCGTGAACAATTTTCTTAATGCTCCATAGTACGACGGAATCAGCTCGAACACGAAAAACAACATATTGCGAAATGATTTATACTAAGAAAAATCTATTTTTAGTTTTAAACAAAGATAAATTCTATTCCATCAAGATTTGATACAATCGTTCTAAAATTGTAATCCTATATTTGTTGTCTAACAAATATGGGATCTTACAAAGCTTAAATGTATGTTCCCTCAATGGCTTAATAATAATAATGTCCTCCAGATCGAATTTCGGCCACGGCGGCCTGCCTCAACGTAGGCTCACCAGCGGCGCAGGACAGGATTATAGTGCCCAAGTGTCAAGAGAGAGATCAGGCGCAGGACCAACGGCTTTACGTGCTTTCCGAAGCACGGGGGTGGGACACCGCTAACTTCCTGACTCTAGGCAGCTACTGAGAATTTCTTGACGGAAAAACTCAATAATTAATTTTTGGCCCGACCCGGAATTCGAACCCAGGACCTCATGATCAGCAGTCGCACTACTACAACCACTAGACCAACGAGGCGGTCACTCAATGGCTTAATGCAATGCGGTTCACCAGTCAGACCGATAAAGTTAACGGGTGCTGGGTAACATTTTTCATTGTTCGTAAAGAGGTCAATAAGCTACGTCTCAGCAAAAGCGTGGGATGAGTATGACACAGTCGATTTAATAGTGTGCACGAGTTTTTGCAAGCACACAAAAGAGGCTAACGAGAATTCCATTGCAATTTGTTTTTATTCATAGTACTGTTATGTAAGGTAATTATTTACGCAGCTTATAGTATTGCGGTTTAGATTAGTTGTAACTGGCAATAAATAAATGAGAGACTAATTTGTTTCTTTGTATAGGCAAACATCTAACAACATAAGGTAAAATAGCGATGTTTAAGTTAGACCGAACACTAAAACGAGTACTGGAGTTAGTATTAAGGCTGAGTTTCCCTAAAGCAAAGTTTTTAAAAATATTAACAGAAAATTTCGTCTCCAAAAGAAAAACTATAAAAAGTTGTAACTGGCAATAAATAAATGAGAGACTAATTTGTTTCTTTGTATAGGCAAACATCTAACAACATAAGTAAAATACAGAAGTTAACCAACACAAACATACTATTATATTAACTGAGTTTCCCTAAAGCAAAGTTTTTTTTTTAAACAATTTTAGAATATTAACAGTTTTACAGTTAAATTTTAATTTGTTTTTGTGCGCATTTTATTCTCCATAAATAAGTAAATAAATAAATTTACTTTTCACAAATCAAAATATAAATGGCATTTAGGAAAGTATATGATGACCAGCATTTTCACGATCTTCAAATCACGCGGGCTGGAGTTGTGCTTAATACCAACTAACTGATATAAAGAGGCGCCTTAAACATAATTCATGTTTGCATTGATTTGGGGTTGAGCAACCTTTGATTTAAAACGTAAAGAGTCGCTCAGACAAAAAATTTAAGAAATTAATGTACTATCTTGTGCCTCCAATACAGTTAAGAAAATGTAATGTACGTACACAAAAATAAAAGTAATTTTACAAAAATAAGTGAAATTCGTTCTGTAAATACTGGGAACAGGTTACTCGACTCCACCCAGTCAGGAATTTATTATTGGGGCGATGATAGCAACATAAAAAATTAAGTCTTAATATTAATAACACTGAGAAAATAGCGGCATTTATTAATTATTGCTTTTACAAAAAAATCAATAACTTTATTAAACTAAGTTAGTATAAAAAGGGTAATTATAAGGATTTTATGGATGAATCCCTGGGGAAGGTGATCGCTACCAAGCTATTTCTAATTTGTTTCTATTTGTAACATCATGGTTGTAAGCTGTTTTTTTAATGTCCCGCTGGGTTTTTTGCTGGTTCTTCCCAGGACAGAGGTTTTTTACGGACCAGTGGTGAATTAAAAAAAATTGGTAAAATAAAAAAGTGATTTTCTAAAATTATTATTTATAATCTATATTGAATAAAAAAGTTTTGTTTCTGTTTCATTGCGTTAATGTAGCACTTCACAAAGCATTAAAACTTCCCATGATTAGTCCGTCGAAATCGCAGATCTTACAACAATTTAAATGAAATTACTACACGCGTGAATCGACATCTTTCGAGTTGAATTTATTCGTAATGATATTTTACTGTCGAACGACACCATTTTAAAATCATTGCTATTTTGTTGCAGGTTCCAGAAAGAATTGAGACATGTACTCAACTTTCGAACTGTAACAACATGGAGCAAATTGGCGAACCAGTGAAGCCCCCGGATAAACACTTAAAGATGAACGCCGATATACGAAATACGGAAGTACACGCGCTGAATATGGAAGTCGAAACATTAAGATGGCAATTGGCACAGGTAATTAAAACACGTTTCAAATCCGCTTGCGAATTATTGGTGCACCAATATAATTATTTATTTTACTGACAGTTTATGTTTATGTTTGTGTATTCTTAAACAATGCGGTGACGCTATGCGAAATTGCTTTGCGAATTTTATTTATTTATATTTCTTCTCTATATTCTTTGTTTATTTGCTATTGTTCATTTGTTCTTAATTTGCCAATGTGAGCGTGATTATTTTCAGACTGAAGCAAACAGACAGATGCACATAGCATTACTAAAGCAAATAGTGACTTTCTTAAACAGAGTGAAGGATCATTTTGACGGCCAGAAAAACGAAGATTTGCCACGAAAGCATGTTCCCTCACGGGTCCTCGCCAAGTCTCTCAACTTCAACGACTTGCCTCGATCTCGTTCCGTTTTGCATGTCAACAAAAATATAGATCTTACAATAAGTCCCGTGAGGAAAATAAGTGCAAGAAAGATCAGTAAATCAATTAGCAATGTCAATGGATACAAAAACTGTAATGGACTATGGTAATTACATTTCTATGTAAATTTTATATAATTGTTGTAAATAATTAGAATTGTTTTAAAAAAATACTAAGCATTTCTAAAATAGTGACGATAACAATTTTAAATTCTGTTATTTTTTATTTTTAGCCAACATAAAAAAATTAACAGTCTTAATAATAAAGAGAAAATAGCGGCATTTATTAATTATTGCTTGTATACATTTGCGATTACATTATTATGTTATTCTTGTTTGCCGTTAGTACATATTTCTCGGGTATAAGTATTTAAATTCAGTTCACTAATATAGTGTCGGTACACACGCAAGCGGAATTGTTATTTTGCTTTTAGTTTATTATTTTTTACTGTGCTAAATAAATGTTTTTCGATTCTAAGAATAAAATAGAATATAGCATAAAATCTGTTAAACTGTCCGATGTTGTACATCACAGTCAAAGTCGTAAAAAAGCCATTTTCGATAGTGGGATTCTTCTGTTTTTACGTCTTTTTGGTATTAATGGACCCTTTTTTAATATTAATCCGTCGCTAGTTCTTGGTATTCCCACAATTTTAGAAGTGTCTGTAATAGGTTCGACAGATTCATTTAACACAGCACTGATGGACATTGACTATACTCGTATTTCTTTTATTTACATGTTTTATCTTCACTCAAAATTTCATCTTGACACTTCACTGACCTCTCAAAGACGAAAAACATTTTCTGTATACGTAGCAGAGTTAACAAAATCAACCTTTCACTACGGCACTTCATTTTAAAATGTCAAATTCTCCTACGGGTGTACGTCTCATGCGGCGATCTTTGATATTGCGGCGGTGCCTTTGATAAGATGCGGCAAGTGCTAAGGTGGAGCGCAACGGAGCCAACCGTATCTAGAACAGACATTAAGCTGCAGTAAATACAGGCGTATAATCTTGAAAGATTTGTCATCACTCCACAAGCTGGACCGAAGTGTTGTCAGTGCATAACCTCTAACTTTGTACTAATGCTGGTCCCTATCACCAAAATGTAGAATCTTGGTATGTTCATATGGATAAACTTCCAAAATATCGGTCGTAGCGATTCGATACATCAAGACCGGCAATGCACCTACATTTATTTGTGTTAAAGTTGTTTGTGGCCATAGTCATCACATAGTCCTTGCCAACAAGTGAGCAGCAGGCTTGTTTCCCTCCTCTTCTACTTATATATAGAAAATCACTGTCTGTTAGTCATCAACCACTCGCCCTTTAGTAAATAAGGTGAATCTCGTGTATATAAGGTTGACAATAGCTGACAAAATGTCACATTTCTTATTATATGAAATAACCTAGGCGACCAAGCTTTGCTCGGCGTAAAAATGATTCGCAGGGTTGACATCTATTTAAATTAATTGGAAAGAAGAACATTATTGAAATACGAAATTTTACCGTAAGAGCCGTTTCCAAGAACACATTTCATATAATAATCAGACCGAATTTCGATCACGGCGGCCAGTCTCTACGGAGACTAGGCGACACGATCGCCGAGATATATGCGGCTTTACGTGTTTTTCGTGGCACGTAGGTGAAACACCGCCTTTAACTTAACTTAACTTTCTGATTCCGAGGACTTAGAATTTCTTGACGGGAAAAATCAATAACTGACTTTTATTGACCTGACCTGGGATTCGAGCCTGGGATCCTAAGATCAGCAGTAGCATTTACGGCCTCTAGACTAACGAGGCAGGCGTATAATATTATATTTCATGTTGTACTTTAAACAAGATAGGTATGTCTTAATATCTTGTTTAAAACAATAGGTATGTTAGCTCCGGAGCTAAGCGCTCACAGAACGCGAGCAACCCGCGTTTGATCCCCGCCGGAACTAATGAAATTGTTAATTGCAATTTTAAGTGCCGATTTACATGTAATATAGGCTGTAACTTTGTCTTAATTTTACGAAAAGTATTTTAAATTACTACAAGTTTGAATCAATTTCAGGAGCCAGTCGAAATTATCTCTTGTTCCCGAACACGAATCATCACAGAAAATAAGTGAAGAAATGTCGAGACTGATTACTCTTGCCAATACAGTACTTAGTACCAATTTGCCTGATCTCGCTTGTGCGTGTGTGAACAACAATAATGACATCGATACAAAACTAACTGAAGACGAAATAGAAAGGCCAACGTCGCTAAATGTTACAATAAATTTTATAAAAGATGAGTCGCGCAGTACAATAGTCAATAGTTCAAAAAGTGACAATGGCGTGACCAATAAAGTCGTAGAAGTCAGTAGCATAAATTCCAACAGTGATGATTGCGTGTCAATTCTGTCCCATCAAACCGAATTGGAAGACAAGTTTTCTGCTTTAAATACATTGGAAAAGGAACGCGATAGTTCAAAAAGCGCCATACAACCATCGAATGAAAATGTAAGTGAAGCTTTTGATAAAATAAACGATTATAATGCTCTGTCGAATTTTATCGAAGATGAGAGTGGATTTTCTTCAATGAGCTCTTTTCAAGAAATCGGAATACCAGTCATAAGCATAATACCACCGTCGCCATGTAAAGAAGTTGATTACTTGGAAGAAATTTCAGATATTTTAGAGGAAAGAGAAAAATGGAAATCGGACGCCATTGAACTAGATAAGCAGAGTGTTAAAGTCTTTTGGGTCTGATTTAGGTCTCAATGTACAAAATTTTCCACTGACAATCTGAGTCGGAGATCTTAATTAACAAATTTAAATTTTGATAAATGTGTACTTATTCATATTGCCTTAGTTTTAAGATATACAAAATGTCGATGAAAATATTTATAAAATTTGTTTAAGGAGTCTGTAATAAATTGTGGAACTTATTTGTGTTTGTATTACAATAATTAGGTCTTTTAAAGAAATTTGTAGCTTAATTTTAACAAATCTACACAATAGTATATTACTTATTATCACAACTCACTATGAGTTCTGATTATAAGTAATTATAACTTATTGATTTTTGTTGAAGAATAGTATGGCAAAGTCCAAACCAATCATGATATACTTATGAGTATTTACGAAATCTTATTTACTCATAAAAATCGTAATATTTAAGTAAAGTTTAAGCAATATAGTCAAGTTTAGGAGTATTATTAATTTTTTTAAAAGTTTTCTTCTTTTATAAATCCGAATAAATAGACAGACTTCGTAGACTTTAAACGTTTTTTTTTTGCTTTTACGCCTAACGATTTCTACTATAAGATTTAAATATAGACAAAGTTATCGTGTCGTTAGTTTCGAGTACTGTACTTGAAAACGACCGTAGGAATAACTTTGTCAACACGTTGACAATGAATGCCTTTATTCGTAGTTTTCATATTTTTTCCTTTGTGTATACCAAATGAACAATTTACCTTGATGACAAATTTCAAGTTTCAACATAATTTAGAAATAGCTTAGGTTTATGAAGAGTCACTCAGTGAGTGATATAAATAGCACGCTTAGACTTTAATAACCCACCAATTATAAGTGTTTTCATCATAATATAGGATTCTTGTTATATAATATGAGATCCTTAAGAGGTTGGCAAAATCACAAGGGTATATATTCATTAGTTCAGTTATGAGAGTTTGGAAAGTAGTTTGAAATAGTACGTATTAAATATACTAACTGATACATTGTCGTGTATCTAGATTTAAGTAAGCTATAATCAACTATTATAAACAAGGCGTATAATTTTGCTGTTCGAGTAAGGTAATTACTAAAGATGTAACCTAAGAGTATATTGTAATGACTACACAAGTAATTTAGACTAACGTGTTTAGTAGTCGACGAATTCTATCCGTATGGTAAATGACGATAACGGGAGATTTTTGCGTGCATTTTTTGTAGGATAAGTGTAACAAACGAGTACACAGTCCACATGATGATAAGTTTAAATTCTCTATAATATACATTCATATGATAAACATCTATCCTCGATTACGAATCAAAATGCAGATGCGTTGTCACCCGAGAGGACTAAGATGGAATGCTTCTTTTCCAGTAAAACGGGTCTCCGGTTCTCTACACTCACCATACGAAACACGGCAGCGGTTAGCTGCTATTTTACGCTGGTATTCCGTGAGAGCGTAGTCCTACACCCATTCTCTACTACGCTAGGCTCTACCACGTAAAAACAAAGCAAAATTTATGATCGAGGGTAGAGAGATTTAGGTTAAGGCCGTAGATATAGTATAATGTAGATTGGAGACGGAGTCATTAGTACGAGACTAAAATCAAAAAACACCAGTGTGCGTAAAATGTGTATGTGTGGATGACAAATAGTGCTGCACCGTGCATTGTTTCATCGTGCAGACGTTTTTCTGCCCTTTTTGACGACCCTTTGTCATGTCCTATTAAAAATCTTTAAATTAGCAAAAAAATGTGGGTCACTCATGGGCAAATAAACTATCATATCTTTCAAGTTGGACCAAACTGCACACGGTGTGCAAATTTGATTAAAATCGGTTAAGTAGTTTAGAAGTCCATCGCGGACAAACAACATGACTCGTAATTTATATATTGGGACGATAGTGACATACTGCAGACTTCTCGGAGCGTCGGTGCTTCACATCAGCGATATGTTCTTTCACGCAAGTTTTTATTAAACTTTTTTGTCTTATTTAGGAGAAATCACATTCACAAAAAAGCTTCTACACTCCTGTATCTTGTAGAGGAATATTACACATGACAGATGGTAAGAACAGACTAATCTTCTTCGGCGGCTTGTAGAATGTTCTTATGGAAGCTTAGCGAAGCGCTTCAAAATGTAATGCATCAGGGACACGCTCGGCTGTGGCCGGTTTCACTCGGTTACTGTGATGGAGGTGCGGGACTTGAAGCTTGTTGTCGTGCACGACTTGTTTGACGTACTGGAGCTCGGTGGCCAGGTGTTTACTGTCACAGATTTCTTGTGCTCTCTAAAACGTCGATTCGTCACAATCTCGAGTCGAGTTCTAGCGGTCGCACCGATCTACTCTAAACTTTGGTGGCCAGGACGACGGCGCTGGGGTGACGGGCATGCGGTGAACAGGCGGCTATTGACCTCCACTTCGTCATCTCGTTCTTGTTGACGTCCCGGTGACGGCGGCTGTGGACAATCGCTGTAAGAGTTATACAACCACCTTTTGCAGACGCTCTGATGCCTTTTAATAAATAAACCTCTTTTCTACTGACATCCATCGACCATCTAGTATTTCTGAAATGACATAGTAAACAACAAATAAACAACTTTAAAATGACGTACGAAATTTATGTGTCACAATAATTTTTTATAATTTATAAAAGCAAAAATTTCTAAAAATTACCTCATAACAAAATTTTAAGTGACAATGGCTGATGATCCTGATGACAAAGCTAGTGGTGATGTTAAATCAGATCTAAAACCAGAAGCTACACCAGAATCTCCTACACCAGAAGCTCCACCAGAGCCTGTTAAGGTTCCTGACGTGGAACTAATTGTCGATGGTTTCGGTTTCATGCCAAAGAAAGCAGGGCCATCTAAAAGATATTTGAAGACGAAAAACCTTTCAAAAGATATAAAAGAGATCTTATCGCCCGAAGATCAATACAGTAGTCCATGTTCCTCAAGTAGTAATATCGATATTGTGAGAAGATTTACATGGAAGACCAAAAATCGGATGACTGTTCAGGTTTTTAAAGTTACTCATTTTAATGAGCTTACGTAATACATTATTAACATGTAGTATTATTAAGCTTCTTACGTACAAATCCATGGATGTGGTCACGTTATATTTCACAAATATATAGTTCACTATCGTGTATTGTTAGATGTGATAAGAATGATCGACTATTTCAAGTACAAACACATTGGAAGTAACATGTACTACGTACTCGAAGAGAAGCCGATACTTGGCTATTTAGAACACGCGTTAAAGCCACCGGGCTCAAACTCACTTTTTTTATAGGATAAGGTGACAAACGAGCACACAGTCCACCTAATGGTAGGTGGTTGCTGTGGCCCGTAGACATCTACATCTGTCCTCGATTACGAATCAAGATGCGGATGCGTTGTCACGTGCGTGAGGACTAAGATGGAATGCCTCGTTTCCAGTAAAAAAAGTCTCCGGATCTCTACACTCACCATACGAAACACAGTAGCATTAAGCTACTGTTTTACGTTGGTATTGTGTGAGAGCGTGGTCCTTCCCCAGTCGAGCCGACCCATTCGTGCTACAACTATACTATATATATATATATATATATATATATATATATATATATATATATATATATATATAGAGTTGGTGTCATAAAAAAGTAGCTTCTGTGTCACCTAAGCGCCCCTTACATTCTAGTATGTAGTATATATTATTTAAATGTATAAATAATGCTTCTTTATAGTCTATCATATTTCATCGTTCCTCTTGGCAAACAACATTTATACTTTGTCCGATAATCTAGAGGGTTAGCAGGGTAATAGCCAATCACATTTGCTTAAGAGAGGTCCATGGATGCAGTGGGTAACTATTAAGAAACTATACATTTAAGGATTATTACGTAGCCGTTTAAATTAAGAAAACCTTTTATAAGATATTAGTTTTAACGTTAATATAATTTACCATTGAGATATACTTACTGATAAAACTGATTTTGTTTTTAATCCGTCCCAACACTAAACGAGTTAGAAGGAACTAAGTCTAGTTGGTCTAGACCTGAAATTTTACTAAGGCCCAAGGTTGTAATAGTTAAATGTCAACAGCTGGAGGTGATACTTTTTTAGTTATAGAGAATTGGTAGAGATATTCACACATTTGACGAGGCGACGCTGCTAGTTTTCGCCAGTCTGATTTTTTTATAGGATAAGTGTAACAAAAAACATGGACTGTGTGCCCGGTCCATCTGATGGTAAGTGGTAGCTGTGGTTCATAGACATCTACATCTGTCATTACATCTCTCATCTCATCTCATCATCTATCATTCAAAATGCAGCTGCGTTGTCAGGACTAAGATGGAATGCCTCGTTTCCAGTAAAAAGGGTCTACATTCTACACTAACCATATTATACGTATGAAGCACAGCAGCATTGAGTTGCTATCGTGGCTCTGCCACGTGAAAAACAGCGGGCATTCTGTGAGAGCGCAGTTCTTCCCCGGTCGAGCTGACCCATTCGTGTTACAACTACAATATAGCTGGCAGCCTGGCTCTACCACGTATAAAATCAAGCATAATCAAGTGGAATACAAACTAACAGTTTAACTGATGGTAAGTAGCTGCAGCAGATTCGAGTCTCCACATCCTTCTCCTTGAGGTTTAGAGGAGATGTCTTACAGCTTGTTATTATACTTACTTTTTTACCTTTTAAGCTTGAACACAATAGTGGTGTTTAAATACAGAAACAGTTAAGAGGGCGATACCAGCAAATATTTGAGAATATGTAAATAAATACTTGTAAGTATCCTCTTGCGAGTTTTCTACAACCATTAAGTCCATCCTACAAACCAATTACCACGAGAGTGCTCTGTGAAATTGTTTGGATAATTTCAAGCGGCCAAATTTCACCATCCAACTCACGTTACCATCCACATCGTACCGTGCGATTTACAAGGAGTTTTCTTCCTCGCACGACTACTTTGTAGAATCGTTTATCATCATACCTGACCCCTTAGGAATAAACTACTCTTTTTAAAAGGTTCTATTTA